ACACACACACACATACACACAGCACAGAGAACCACAGGTGTCAAAGCGCCGCGCCATGTCCCAGCCCACAGCCTCCTGCACTCTGGCCTGCTCTCCTGGGCGTGTAGCCGCAGAGGGCGATGCTGAGGGAGCCGAGCCGGGTGACGTCCTGGCCCCCAGCCCGGGCAGGAGCTGAGCTGGCCCCAAACGTCTTCCTTCTCGCCTCAGCCTGTCCCGGGCTCCGGCCCCAGCCTTGTGGTGCCCTCACCTTCTGGATCTGGCCGGAGACTGCCGTGCAGAAGGCGGGTCCTGCTGGGGCTGGGAGCAGGTATGCGAGAGGCCTTATATAGCAGGTGGCCACAGTCAGAGAGCGCAGCTGCCTTCTGGGGAGGGACCTCTGGGTCACAGGAGCCAATGCTTCTGGCTGTCAAACTGTGCCCTGCCCACCCACAGGGCTGCAGGCAGCTTAACCCTTTGGCGGCCACTCAGCTGGCGTCCGCTCTGCAGCCTCTAGGAATTGGGAGCGACTCTGGGAGAGCCTTGAGCAGTGTCCCTAGAGCAAGGTGTCTCCCAGCATCAGCTATGGCCACTGAATCAACTCCAGGAGCTGTTAATGACAAACGCCGCCTTAGCCCCACCTGGTAAAACAATCCCCATGATCAGCCCCACTTACAGACGAGAAAATCCAGGCAGGAGACGTCCCCGAGAGTGCATAGCCGGGCAGTCCGAGCTCGGGACTCAGAGGCAGGCCACGCGGGGTCTCTGAAGCTCGGGAAAGACACTCAGAGTCCCCGGGACAAGTATCTAAACCTCGCTACGTTTCAGGGTCCTCCAGCCAGGGTGAGTGTGAGTTCACCGCGCAGCCACGCGTGACAAGAGGGCCATGGAGCGACCCGCCCGCAATGCGCCCGCACACGCAAGGCCACAGCAGGGCGCCACCTCCTCCCATGCTCCAGACGTCTTCCCTGTGCGGTTTGGGCCACCACCACTCGCGAGAGCCCAGGTTAGGCCAACTGAGGCCCCTCAGGCTCTTCGCATTGTGTTGTGGGAGCTCCTGACTTGGAGTGTGGCCTTCAGTTCTCCTGCCTCCTCATCTGTCTCTGTCCCAGCACCTCTCTCCCACACACACACACACACACACACACACACACACACACACACACGTGAGGCTGGGGAGCCAACCCAGCCAAGGACGCGGGGGCTGAGGGTACACGTCCCACGGCCTGTGTGTCAACCTTGGAGCCCCCTCTCCTAAAAATACCCTTGGCTATTTGCTACTCCAGCCTTTGGCTCAGCTCTCTTTTCCCTAAACTCATGTATTCATTCAACAAACATGTTTTGAACACCCTCCATGCGTTAGGCCTGCTGTAGGCATTTGGGAGGGCCCTGTGAGCAAAAAGACAGGGACCTTGCCCTCCTGGAGTGACTCTAGAGAGGGACACAGATAACACGCGTAAGTGCGACAAATAAGCAAATCACAGGGGAGGTTAGAATGCAGTGACTGCTCTGACAAAGACACACAGGGCCGGTGGGGTGTCGGCCGTCCTGGGAGGTGCAGGTTCCGTCCTAAGGAGGGGTGGGATCAGTCTCCTGGAAAGGGCAAGACACGCGTCATTGTTATAAGCAGAGCTTCTGGCCACCTCGTCTTCTCCTCTCCTCTCGTCTGCCCTCAGGCTGTTTGCCACAGCGCTTTCTGGACGGAAGCCTCCTCCCTCACAGAATCCCCTTGCCGTGCCCCATGCACTGCTCGGTCACCTGGGCTCCAGCCACCTGTCAGGACACAGCGGGGCACAGGAAGGGGGGGTGTGGTGGGGGCCCACCACACACACACTGCATATCCACCACACACACACACACA